TCATTAAGAAATATTTAGGTAAACATTTAGAGAAATGAATTACCATGAGTTATAGATTTTGAAATGATTCCCTAAGGATTCAGGGCAAATCCCTTCACTGAAGACATTAAAATTAGATTCAAAGAAAGACTTGAGAGAACACTAGAGTGAAAACACTCCCACTAATAAATATGAAACAGATGAATTTTAGCTTTGTCCATTTTTACTATGTACATCTGTTATTTTTCTGATTCATTAAATGTAGATTTGGTATTCTAAACTCTCTCACTACAAATAACATAAAAATTAAATCATCAGCACTTAATTATGGTTCCAGACACTTAACAGATATATGACAAGACATTCAAGCCCAAAACTGTAAACTCCAAATATTGTTTTTATCATTGACAGAAACTGAGAGTTCTTAGGAAAGTTCTTCTCTGGAAAGTGATCTACTCCCAGGCTCCCCAGAATTCACACGGGATTACAAACTGCAAGCACTGGAGCTGATTTTAATTGCCACAGTGATGCATAGGGAGAGATGTGATATCTGGAGTAACTAGCTTCTAAACAATGAGGGGCTTTAAAGATTAAAGTCAACACTTTAAATAGCACTCACAAATAAATAGGAAACTAATGCTGACTATAGAATGCAGGTATAATATTCTCCATATGTTTTGGACACTGTAGCTGAATGACACCTAGCCCTCAGTATCACACAGAATAAAGACCCAAAGACAGGGCTTATAGCACTCTGTTTTGAAGGTTAGAAAAGCAGAGATCATGGTGTGAACAAGACATAGGTATAGTGAGAAGTGTTCTTGGATGTAGGATACCAACCGGAGAAATCAGTAGACATCTGTGAGGCCCTCTCAACCCAAGGCAAGCTGGTTGCTGCAGCTAAATGGATTTCAAACACCTGGAATCCTGGCCTAGAAGTGAATTGGTCCGTAGTTCCTGATGTTACCTGACAACAGTGGAAATACTGGATGCATCAATAGTTGGCTAAACCTTTCAGGTATGAAAAGTAATATGGCTGACTTCACACCTGAGTAAGAGTGAATTATAAGGTCAAAGCCTAATACTTGAAGAAATAACTTATTCAGTAGTTAAAGCCTAAAGAAATTGTGCATCCCTAAAAGTGGACCGTCTTTGGTAAACTCAACATATCAAATGCAAACTCATAGTGGAAAAACTAAATCAAACAAACCAAGAGTAACCCTGCCAATGTGACCGAAAATTCTCCAAATAGCATAGTTTTCTTTTAGCCACTGACATATGGGAAAATTTATGTAGTAAAGTATATGCTTATAAAGTTTCAACTTATATTTAGTGGGGGGAAACAATTTATTATACCAAAAAAAGCATAAATGTATGACAGATGGTAATGCTTTTTTTCTGTTCTTGGCAGGGTCCCTTTTGGGCTGAATGACTTTTGCTACTTAAACCTATGAACATTGTCATTCACACCTATTTTCTGAAATTAAACAGACCAAATCTATGATGAAACCCCTTATAAATTTGGTTACCGTATAATTTCTTCCCCTTTTGTGTCATAAATTATCTAGAGTACCACTTTTCCTAGAATAATGAAAAAGGCCGAAACTGGGCAAAAAGCATTCTGTAATAAAACCTTTATGTTAAACTCTTTAAATCAATTTTGGAAAACCTTCTATATTTAAATTTATTCTGGTAGGACTTAACCAAGGAAACTATAAAAGATTATATTAGAAATACACCCTTCCATCCTGAAATATTTGCTTTTGGCTTTTAAAATGTTCAGTTCCTTTAAATCATTTTCAAAATTATAAAGTATGTATATGGATAGCTAGGCGATGGATCTAGTTGGTTTATCTTCTGAAAATAGGCAAAATTTTTCCTAAGTATATGTGATATAAGACTAGTTTATTGTATTATTTAAATACACAAACCACTTTTTTAAAGTAAGAAGTTTATTTACTAGATAAAAGAGTGAAGGAATGTACTGTATATGCAGATGGAAGGCAAGGTAAAGGGTGAACTCAGGATCACGTTATATCTCACCATTCGGTAGTGGGGAGGCAGGGGTTAGATCTTCCTGCCTCTCCCAGTGGCCAGCATTGCGTATTACCTCCTTGAAAATGACAAGGTTGTTTTCTCAGGCAGTTTCAGAAAGGCTGGCTGGTGTTAGATTTATTAAAAGGCGATTCACAGATGACAATTATCAATAATGTCAGGGTAGTTAACGGTAATCCTGGCTGCTATAGCAAACCTCAATATTTCAGCAGCTTTAAGAAAAAAGTTTAATTATCACCTACTTAAAAGTCCCAAGCAAATGCCTTCGGTGGGAGGGGCAGGATGATTCTCAGGGGAAGGGGAGACCTCTGTGCCACAGCAATCATTCAGAGATAAGGTTTTCAATGCCACCCCAATATCGAGCAAAAAGGGTATACACAATGCTGGGGGACATTTTTCAAAGCCAGACTTGGCTAGAACTCAGTCACATGTTCATATCTAAGAATGAGGAAGGCCAAAAAGTGTCTGACTTACATATTGGGAGAAAAGAAAAGGAAATGTTTGATAAACAACTAGACAGTTTTTGTCACAATAAGTATTGCAAACAAATTATTGCTGCCAGTATTGTGGTTGGACAGCCGTCACTTGTAAGAAATACAGAGATAGTGACACTATCTCTGCAATTTTTAAATAACACTTAATTTTACTTTTTTTTTTCCTGCTTATTCCATTTTTTCTCTTTCTTATCTGCAACCTATTTTATTAATCATCTGCTAGTGATTTGGCTGAAATGATTGCAGGCAATAGTTTATTTTGAAGCGTGCATTCACATTCAAGAAGAGCAAAAATTAGTGATGTAGCATGATATACACAAACATCTAGTCAAATTTTTTATAAAATATACTGGAATGCCAACAAACTTTTTCCCACATTTTAAATAAAAAAGCAGAACTTTTTCCCCCCAGTTTAAACCTATGAGAAAAACTTGATTAAAATTTAGAATGATATAATTAATGATTAGGTCGATTTTTTTGTGTGTATGGAAGAGACACAACTTTATATTCCAGCCATAATACAAAGAAAATTTTCATATTACAAATGCTAAGAAAATTTTAGTGAAAAACAAAATTTTGGAGAAAATACTGTGAAAATTAATCAATAGCAGCCTAGGTGTTGCTATGGAGACTCTCAAGAAAATCCTTTTTTGGCAGATCTCTCTGGCCTAACCATGCATCAGTTATTTTATTCTCATGACAAGAGAGGGCTTCCAGATGTAAATTATCCAGCCCTATGGCTAGGCTGCCATAGGATCTGTCTATTCCCTCCCAAGAAGATGAACTGTACTTATTCTAAGAAATAAAAACTTGTATTTTTCAGAAAAGTTTCTATGAAAGACTCTTTCTAGAAATTGTTTTACTTTAACATAATGGTCCTTTGGTAGCCACCAGGAATTGCTTCCAGGGCCCCTCACATTCCCCAATAGAAAAATGTCTGATATTCAAGTCCCTTAATAAAGTGGTCTAGTATTTGCATATAACCTATGCACAGTCTCTCCTATACTTTAAATCCTATCTAGATTACTTATAATATCTAATATTATGTAAATGTTGTAAAATAGTTGTTACGCTGTATTTTTCTTTATTTGTATATTTCTTTATTAATGTCTTGATATTTTGGATCCAAAGTTGGTTGAATCCAGGAATGAAGAACTGTGACAATGGGAGGGCTGACTGTATCTGTATTAAAGAATTAGAGTGTAAAGAGAAACTTTCTTTCATGGTCTAAATTATGAACAAAACTTGAAATCATCATTAAAAGTGCCCCCTAAATGAAAAAGGATGCCAGTGGCTGGATATCACTATTCCCCTTCCCTCAATTTATTCCTCAAAACAATTAAAAGCGTCAGCAATGAAAAGGTTTAGAATATTCCCCTATGGAAGGTCACCCATTCATCACGTTGTGCCCAGTGAAATTAAGCTTCTGGCTTGCATCACCTCACTCATCCGGGCCAATGAGATAGCTGAAGCATCTCACCTCTAGGCAAAATGCAGAGACTTAAGGGCTAGTTAAGCCCTGGATCAGTGCTGCATTTTATATGACTAAGGAGACAGCAAGACACTTTTGATTGTGCTCTGCCACTGGGTGTCCTCAAATTTGCCTCACTGTAATAAAAAACAAAAGTAAATCTAGCTCCAGAAGAGGGTATCCCTCATTTTGGCAGGCCTAAAACAGTAGTAGACAACAGTGTAGAAATGATCCACACTACATCTGTGACTCAGATTATCCTGGGATCTAATCCTGGCACCATCAATCAAACACTGTGGGAACTGGGATAAGGTGGTTGTGAGAATTAAATGAAATAATCTTGTATAGCATACAACCACTGCTCAAGAAAAAATCGCTTTTATTACTGTCATTATTTTGGGAAATTTGTCCAACCAGGATATTTTAGATATTGATGTGTCCAGGGTGGGAAAAAGGGGGGAAAAAGAAATAGTCTACTTACCAATCAATAAAAGGCAGTTTAAAGGAACTGGAGCCCTTTGGGCAGAGAAGTACATGAATCCCATGTACAATTAAATAAGGAGTCACTTGGAAGGGTGATTGGATTTGTTTACTAAGGCCCCGCCGCTGAACTAAGACCAGGGCAGAGTGTCCAGGTCAAGGAGAGACAAATTTGGCTTCACAGAGGAAGCACTTGGGGCAGATTAGAGCGGTTGGGAAAACCAGCATGGGTGCCTCCTGAAGGGGTCACTGTTCCAATCTAGGTCACTCAGGATCGGAAGAAACTTGGGTGGAGGAGTCCTGGATGGGATTCCAGACATTTAGAGTTTCTAGACAACGCCTCGGACCGTAGAAGAACGTAGCCCGACCGCCGAGGCCAGCCTCGTCCTGCCCTCCACCGCCTGCGCAGCTCTCCTGCTGAGAAGTCCTCAACTCCGACCCGGGAACTGGGAACCCCGCCCCTACGCGCCGCGCGCCCGGAAACTCCGTTGCTATGGAGACGGAAGCGGTTGACCCCTGGAGCGGAGCGACGTCGTTCAGGGACGGGGCGTGGCTTCGGTTACTGTGGTAGCAGGGACGCTCAGGCAGGGCCGGAGCCCAGGTTAGACGCCAATCAATGTTCCTCCCGTCCTTTGCATGGCACCCAAGAAAGAGAAACCGGGCGGGACTGTGAACACCACCAGTTCTAAGATATGGGAACCCTCGCTCGTAGCTGCACAGTTCAATCAGGTGAGCCTTGAGCCCTTGAAGCCGTCTCTGCCCCCGGAAATGCCAGAGGCCCTGCCACACCCTCCTAGGCGAGGCCTTCAGCCGTGCCCTCTCATCAGTATCTCTGGGGCCTGAAGGTTCCGGGACCCAGGGTCCCAGGGACAGGGAGTGCTTGATAAATGAGCAGAACTTAAGGGAAGAAGAAAGGGAATACGCAGCAGGTGAGTCAGTGTGGTTTCAAAGGCTGGTGAGAGCTGCGTGGTGGGGAACAGAGGAGGTGTCGCTCTGACACCCCCAGACCCTTTTCAGTGAAGTCGTCCAGATGGCACTCCACAATTGTACTGGAGTTTTTTTTTTTTTATGGACTTTTCGTTTCCTCCTGACATCTTTTAAAGGATGAGAGTCTTATCAAATCATCTGTGGCCTAGCCTGTAATAGGGCTTTAATAAATGCTGACTGAAAACAGACACGGAGTGCCTAGAATTACACTGTATTTAGTATAAGGGAGCTTTGTATAGATAGGAAAAGATGATTTTTTAATGTAATGCCCTGATCCCACTCTATTAAAGCTTTGACATATTTTGAAGGTGTGGGAGATCAGAGCAATGAGGGGTTGGCAGCCAACTTACCCACAGGATGCCACAAAGGCACCAGGCAATCTACAACCCACCTGCCACAGGACTTCAAAGTGCATGAAATCCCAGAACTCACTGGCTCCCCACTCACCTTCAGTGAATGAGGAGCCCTATAGCTCTCGTCCCTGCGGCTGGAAATCCCCTTCTACATGAAGGTGTTTCTAAGTCCAAGTTAGCATTGGGAAGAGAAAGGTTGTTTCTGGAAATTCCAGCCCATCATTGTGAACGACTTCAATAAGTGGGGGTAAGGTATTTTTTTCATTTTATATGTGTCTATATGGTGCACTAGAGAGTTAGTACTTAAAGGGAAAATGGATCTAAAGTCTTGTGTTGCCCTCATGAGAAATTTTTACCTATTTGTCTTTATTTTCCACTATGATTGATTTTTCCTATTAACAGCAATTCTGTTTGATAAGGAAATTAGTCCTGATGAAGAATTTCATGAAAGTAGTTATGATACTCCTGGTGCTGATGTGATGTCATGGAATTTTGGGTCCTTTCTATAACTTTAGTAATGCCGGATGTCAACTCAGTAATCCCCAGTTACTTTCTCAAATTCTCAAAGATGTTTTTCAAAGCACTTTGTAAAAGCACCCTCTCTTTTGCTTTTATAAGTCAGCGCTAGCCAAAATAATTTTTTCTCCATTTTTTTGAGATTGTATAGGCCAAGTTTGGTCTTGGAGTGAACGTTTCTGCTTGAATTATAAACTGCTGAACAACGGGGTTTGATGGAGGTGCTGACACTGCATTAGCTTTAGTGTTGCAAATATGAAGCTATAATTTTCCTAGTTGAATGGAAAACCTAAAGGCACTATTTGTCCTTATGGCTTGAAAACCTGAAATAATATTCAGCTTTCTTGATCCTACTCAAACAATATAACTTCAATAAATCTTATGTATTAATAGAAAGAATTTGAACTCAAAGTAATATGTAATTTTAACTATAAAGAGTGAACTCTATTTTCTTCAGTTTGTTGGAACACATGTTTTTTTATTGCAGGAAAAAGACAACTACCCTCCACCTCCTCTCACATTTTTCTCTGCTTGATTTCATATCTGATCCAAAAGGATAATTTCCACATTAACCCAGCAGTTCAATGCCCAGAGGCATGCCCTAACCACCAATGCAACAGACTCTGAATTTAGGTTGCAGATGACTGTGGATGTGTGAATCTTGAGCACACATAGTGTATTCTACTGTTTTAGTATCCAGAGAGTTTCTTTCCCTATACTTGTTATTCATGTCGAAGTATGTGTGGTTGAGTGTGTGTGCTAGTGTATGTGTTGTATTATGTGTGTGTGTTGGGGGTGGGGGAGGAGGAGAGAATTCCTCCAGTTTTCCATAAACAAGTTTTTAGAATTAAGTTATTGGAGAATCCAAATCAGTAGTATTTTCGAATTCATGTTCATGTTGGGTAGGCTTTAAAGAGAGTAAACAAGTTCACAATCTGGTTTTGTTGAATTTACCTTGTATCACTGTCTCAGATTATCCTTTCAGGCTGGAATAATTGTCAGTTTTTTCATATATTTTAGTTGGTTTTAAATATAAAATGAAAGCAAATAATACAAAGCATTCTATCACTAAGCACCAAATGATTAAATAGAGACTAGAGGTTAGGAAGATAAATGTGGGCTGGGATCGTCAGGAAATGCTTTGTAAAATATTTGCCTTCACCTGGGCCCTAAACAGTGGGTGGAATTTGAACAGGTAGAATGAAGGAGCATGATTATTTTAAGTAAGGAGACTAATATGTGCACTAAGTAAATCTGACACATTTAGATTGGGAGAAAAATGTAGGTTAGACCACTTCTGGGCATACATTACTCCTAAATTAATTCCGTCAAACAAATGGTCATTTACTCTCTTTACTATACCAAAATATTTAACCTATTGATATAGAAGAAATATCACACCTCAAATTATATAAAAAGAAAATATTTAGGTACATTGGCAATAAGATCCTTTTGTGTTAGTATGTATGTGACATAGACATTATATTTATGATCTCTAGCAGCATTAGAAAGTCAAAGATATGCGTTGGTATCATAGAAGTTAAAATCTTTCCATGCAATGGTCAAGGCAGGCTCTATTGCCCACAGTGAGAGGAAGAGGTGTGAAACTTAGCCCTCAGTACTAATTAAGTGATATTAATTACCCATCCTTCCCTCTCCTCAGCCCCAGAAAGCTGCCATTGTACTTTCTGTCTCTCTGAATTTGACTGCTTTAGGTACTTCATGTAAGTGGAATCATACAGTATTTGTCTTTTTGTGACTCTTAGTTTACTTAATGTCCTCAAGGTTCATTCATACTGTAGCATGTATCAGAATTTATTTCCTCTTTACATTTTATTTATTCATTCATTCATTGATGGGCACTTGGGTTGCTTTCACCTCTTGAATATTGTGAGGACTGCTGCTGTTAACGTGGGTGTTAACATGGGTGTACAAAAATTTGTTGGAGTCCCTGCTTTAAAAACATTTGGGTATGTATACAGAACTAGAATTACTGGATCATATGGCAATTTTGTATATTTAATTTTGTTTTGAGATAGGGCCTATGTGGCCCAGCCTGGTCTCAAACTCCTGGACTCAAGCAATCTTCCCACCTCAGCCTCTCAAAGTGCTGGGATTATAGGAGTAAGCCACTGTGCCCAGATTTCATTCTTTGAGGAACTACCATATCATTTTGCACAGTGGCTATATCATTTTACATTCCCACCGACAATGTACAAGGATTTCAATTTCACCACATCTTTGCCAACACTTTTTACTTTTTGTTGTTGTTTTATTTTTATTTTTTGGTGAGATTTGTTTGTGTTTGTTTATTGGTTTTGTTTTTGATTTTTTAATAATAGCCATCCTAACAGATATGAGGTGATATCTCATTGTGGTTTAGATTTTCATTTCTTTAATGATAAGTGATGATGAGCATCTTTATTCTTTGTCTCTTATAACAGCTTTTGATTTAGAGTCTTTTTTGTGTTGTAGTTGCTTAACCTAGCCTGCTCTCTTTTAGTTACCATTAATATTTGCATGGAATACCTTTGTCCCTTTACTTTCAACCCATGCATATCCTTATATCTAAAGTGAATCTCTGCCAACAGGATATACTTTAATTCTGAGGTTTTTTTTTTGTTGTTTTTTAATCCATTCTGCCAGTCTCTGTTTTGTTGTTGTAGAGTTAATACATTTACATTTAAAGTAATTACTAGTATGAAAAGACTTACTTTTGCCACTTTATTATTTGTTTTCTATATGTCTTACAGATTTGTTGTGTCCTTTGTTCCCTCCATTAGTGTCTTTATTTAGTTGAGTTTTTTTAGTGACATGTTTAGAATACCTTCTCATTTTCTTCTGTGTATATTCTGTAGATATTTTCTTTGTGGTTACCATGTAATATCATAAAGTTATAATAATCCGTCTTAAATTGATACCAACTTAATATCAATTTCTTATGTAAATTCACTTTACAGCCTCACCTCCTGCATAACTTACGTTATGGTGTCACAAATTACATCTTTATGTACTCATTAGCATAGATTTATAATTATTTTTACCCATTTTTCTTTAAATCCTGTAGAAAATAAAAAGTGGATTTACAAATCAAAATGATAATAATACTTTTTAAAATAAATTTGTTCATGCATTTTTTTTAACTAAAGAACTTTATATTTTCATATGGCTTACAGTTACTATCTAGCATCCTTCATTTCAGCTTGAAGGACCCCGTTTAACATTTTTTTATCCATTTTATTTTTTATTCATATGTAATAGAGGTACACATTTTAGAGGCACATGTGATAATTTAATACAATCATGTAGTTTGAAAAGATCAAATGACTATAACTAGGATATTCATCGTTTTGAATATTTGTCTTTTCTTTATACTAGAAACACTCAAGTTATTCTCTTCTAGCTTTTTTGAAATATATGATAGATTATTGTAAATTATAGTCACCCTTCTGATCTATTAAACACTAGGCTTATTTATTCTATCAAACTGTATACTTGTACCCATTAAGCAAACTCTCTTTATGCCCCTTCCTTGCTAGTTTTCCCAGCTTCTGTTAACTTTCATTCTACTCTCTATCTTCATGAGCTCTACTTTTATATTTCCCACATAAGAGTGAGAACATATGGTATTCATCTTTCCCTTATTACACTTAACATAATGAACTCTAGTTCCATCCTTGTTGCTATGAAGGACAGGATTTCATGTTGTATGGCTAAATAGTATTATATTGTGTATATGTATTACATATACAGTTTTCTTTATTGATTCATCTGTTGATGGGCACTTAGATTGATTCCATACTTTGGCTATTGTGAATACTGCTGCAGTAAACATGGAAGTGCAAATCTCTATTCAATACATTGATATCCTTT